ATATATTTTTATATATTTTTATAATATTATTAATAATAAAAAATAAAATTAAAAAAAAATATCTAAAAAAAGCTTTAAATTAAGCTATTATTAAAGATTAAGCCGTAAATATCCGGCGTCTCCTAGGTACTAGCGTAAATCCCCGCGAGCTACTATTTTAAGGGACTAATCAAGCAATCCGGGTTGTCAAAAAGGGCAACGCCTTTATAGTAAGATTGCTTTTAGAGCATGGCATAAATATGGAAGAAACCAAGGACAGATCTGGTAATTCTATTCGAAACTACACCACCGACCTTGCTACGAGAAAACCTGACAATTTAATTATTAAATCACTCACTAGCAGAGGCGCAAATATACATAGTCCAGGAAGGATCGTTAGACGCCTCTTTTCAAAGCCGAATAGCACAACAACTTGGATATTACTCTATATCTAATTCCGAAGGGCCCCAAAACGTAAAATGCCGTAAGCCCACTGCCCTACTTAGTACCGAGCTATGACATCAAAGCACCAGAAACAAGCATCATGTTCTCGTTTTGCTGGTCTACGGAGGAGCTTCAAAAAAGGAAACGAATACTGTCTCGACTCCATCCTCGACAAGCACAGCACGAAATATGGAGTAACCATGGCAAAATCTGGCAGAGGAAAATTCTTCAGTTTTATATTGAGTGGGTGAAACTTTCTATGCTATAAATCTTCGAAGTGAAAAACGTTTGCGCTGTTCATTTCCATCAGTGATCAACAGACCACTAACAAATGCGTCTGAGCAGAGACCCATCGAATAGGGGAACAATGTACTTTCGAGCGCTGAATATGTCATCTTGTAATCTTGATTCGTAACTTGAGCCACACTTCTGGTTTTAACAGTTTCCAGATACTTGGACAGCATCATCTACCTAAATGGGACACTTTGGTAGAATAGACTTATTGGCTGGGATTGCCGTTATTTGCAAAGCGATTAGGAGAACCGCGCAGAGGTCCTGTAACGACACCCTTGCCAGAGTTCTTGATGAGATGGTCGGTGACAGCCTGGGCGCCTCGGACGCCGTCCACAGACATGGCGTAGAGAGCCAGGCCGGCAACATGGGGCGAGGCCATTGAGGTGCCAGACCGGAGCCCGGTCTGGGAATCGCTGTTTGGTTCCGCTGATTCGATCCCGTCGCCTGGGGCGAAAATATCCAGGACTGGGCCGTAGTTGGAGCCTTGGCCATTGGGCCAGTTCGTGACGATTCTCCAGTTCTTGTCCACGGCACCAACGGTAACAGCATTAGGTGCCGAAGCAGGCGAAACTTCGGAGGCGTCACGCTGGGCGTTGCCAGCAGCAATAACGCTCAGAACGCCCCGGGTGAAGGCAGCCTCGATGGCGTCGTTCCAAGCCCTGGAGTATGGGCCACCAAGCGACTGGTTGATAACAGACTTGTCCTGACGGCCCTTTGAAACAATGTCATTGACAGCCCAGTCGAACCCACCCATAATAATACTGGTGGATGTTTGTGTGCCATGGAAAACCTTGACGGCAATGATAGTGGCCTTCTTGGCGACACCAAAGGTCACGCCGCCAACTGTACCGGCAACGTGAGTTCCGTGGCCAGAGATGTCCCTGTCGTCACCGGCCCAGCCGGTCCAGCCGGTTGACGCCCGTCCCTCAAACTCCCGATGCGTCGCTCGTATGCCGGTGTCCATAACGTAGCCAAAGGTGCCTTGGCCAGCTGCAGTGTCGTAGATATATCCAGTAGCATTTGGCTGGCGGTGAGAGATGGCTGCCAGACCCCAGGGCGCGGACTCCTGAGTTGTGAGGTCTCTCTTTTCCATACTCTCCTCAAGAGTCCAGATTTGATCCGCCTCAACGTAGGCAACCTATAGGAGCCGGAAGTTGGCACTCGCTGCGACTTGCACGGATACATGACTGCTAACATACCTCGGGACTGCTCTCGATTTCGACTATTGTCTGCTGATCAAACTGGCCGGCATAGCCATGAAACGCTGGGCTGTTATACTCGCGCTCGACGCCAGCAACGTCGTTATTGACGTTGCGTCTGGCGTGAATACCGCTGACCCATGAAAGGTGCTTGTCGGTAGCGACATTGTCCTTGAGCTTGACGATGTAGCTTCCTTCAATAACATTGGAGGCGCGGATATTTGCAGGAGCGGCAGCAGACAGGCCGGCAAAGGCCGACACAGCGGCAATAATGGACTTGAACAACATGATTCCAATGCCAGAAAATAGCTGACTAGATAAGTATGAAGGCTATTTTGCTGATGGAGTAGCAAGACTGATGATATTTTGCACAGGACGACATCAGTCTTTATAGCCCGTGTGAGCTGGGAGACAGCGACCTTGGCCTCCATGTCGATTTGAATATAAAACCGAATAAGGCAGGTATTCCAACAAACAGACCCTTGGCACGGGTCTTTCGCACGGCAGAGTCCATTTAGGTTCTTATCATTTCTGACGAAATACACCGTCCAGCTTTCGAAGCGTACTTCAAGCACCGGCTCCTGCCTCTTCTGGGCCTGCTGAGGGCGGCGCAGTGTCAATATCGGCCAATATCGGCCAATACCGAGACAATTAACACTACACACGGTTGCGCTGGGGCGTCTTACCGCATGTAGTTGTTGATGCTGCCATCGGATGTACGGAGTAGCGGGGATCGACATGACGGGATCATGGCAGTATTCTTCTCGCTGAGACTATTAAGGTTGTAATAACTTTAATTCAACCCGATGAGCTAGGATGTTGCTCAACCCCCAACGACGGCGAATACTGCAGACGAGGGCTCCATTCCTCGATTGTCACATAGAATAAAGGACCGGTGCACTTGTTTAGTGACTTCAATCCACAGCTGCTAGTCTCGCTGCTCCCTGTTCAGGATGTACCAAGCCTCGTTAGCCTGCTCAAACAGGTAGCTGTTGATCTCTCGGATTTCCTGATGCAGTAGGTGTTGGCTAGCCTGCAAAAGGCAGGTCCCCAAGCAGCAACAAACTGAGAGTTGACTACATGTAAGGTTATTAGATAATTTCAACGACCGATGGCGAAAGAAATGGCAACGTACACCTGTCGCTGTAAGCCAAAACCTTCTACTTGATTAGCTAGATAGCCACTGTCGACAACTGCCTTTTCGAGCTCGTGCGGAATTGGCAGAGAGTGCGCTTTGCCAAATCTGTTGCCAAATGGTGCGCTAATCTGTTCGTGTTGGAACTTGGCGTTTAGACCAAAAGAGGAAAGAGGTCTCTGGTTTATACAACAACAAGCCACATGACATAACCAATTACAAAAGCCACTCCATCCGACTCAAGAAAGAGCGAGGGACGGTATCTTAGTACTATGTATATTTATTATTTTTTTATAGCAAATGATTCGTCTTTATTATGAGCAATAAATTTCCTCTTTTCTTAAACCGATCCTTGGTCCTTGTGCAGGCCTCTGTGTTTTTCCCTTGGGTTCAATGTTAGTACTGCGGCGCTAGGTAGTCTTCCGCTTGGCATTGCAGCTCGTCCAACATGTCTACCGGAACGCGCACCCGCACCTTTTTCGCCCTGCTAGTGTTTGCATATTTGCATGGTCACTACGGAGCTTCTGGCTTCGGGAGTGTGTCTCCTTTCGTATTCACCCTCCGCACCACCAATCATGACAAGCAGTGGGGATGGATGCCTTGAGACATATTGATTTTTGGCTCTTTTTGGCTGGTCTTATACTCCTGCTTTTTTGTGGGTGATCGGCGCAGGCAATAATCGCTCTTTCGATATCCTACCTTGATGCCTGTTTGACAAAGCAGGCTGGTCAACATCCCTGTCCATCTGACCTGTACTCCCTGCGGTAAAATAAAAGACATGCTTCTCTTCCGGTTCTCAGTAACATTCTGAGTTTGTACCAAAATAAACCCCCAAAGTGGTCATCTATACGGAGTCACATCCTAAATACGTAATGTAATAACAAATCTAAATCTTATTCTAAATACGCATCTACATTTTGTATACTCGGTTTTTTTTGGTTTTTTTTTTTGGTGATTTTAGAAATAAAAAAAGCAGAATATAGAAAAATATACCCAGCTATTCGAGCCGGCAATATCTTGTCCTCTCGTCCTGTAGGGTTCAGCGTCCCCCGCTGCCAAATCTCAACCACCACCTATTCATATACCTTTATGGCCTTCCGCACCGCATCCATAATCATCTGCAAATCACTCGTTAAAACCTCGGACCGGTCCTTTGGAGCACCAGCAGGCACCCGATCGAGGATGTTCTTCGCAAATTGCTGAAATAGAATCAGGTACGCCTTCAACCCCAGATGAACGGGGCCCTTCAGCCCAATCTGCTCGTACACCGACTCCTTTGACACCAAAGCTTGCATAGCGAGGGGACTGTCCACCGCCAGCGTCTTATTCACATGGTCAGCAAGACGCAGCAAATCGCCGACCGGGAGAGGGCTATCGAGAAAGGCAGAGTGCAGCCCTGCGCTGGCCGTAGCCACAGTTGCTTCCAGAGCGAGTGGGAGCTGTTGCACGGCCGAGAAGAGACCGCCATTGAAGCCTTGAACCTTTTCGGTCAGCTCCTTGATGTTATTGTCGATGTTGGTGATGTCGGTGTAGCAGAGGCCAGTGTAGTTTGTCTGCGGCACTGCTAGTACCGCGGAAGAAAGTGCAATAGAAGACACGATGACTTTGAACGAAACCATTGTTGCGGTTGTTTGAAATTGCGGTATATGATGAGGAAGTATCTTCTGAAGGGGTTGAGTCTGGATTGATTTTCGAGGACTCATGAGGGCCAACGGCCGTATATATAGATTTTGAGATTGATGAAAATCCGCACATTACTCATCCACTGCCCGTATTGGAATGTGATACAAGTTACGCAACACGAGTGGGTTTGTGCTGGTGATATCGAGACACAGATATTCCTTTTGCAACCATCGCCACTGCCTGTGCAACCACACTTGATGGAATATCGCCAAGGTACGGGCTTGAGTGGTAGGATATCGAATGGAACGTTTCAAGCTGATGTAATTCAATGCCATCACCAGATACACAATGTAATTTTCTCAATCCTTCACGCCATGCAAGTTCCACGTCTATTGTTGCACCTTGCCATACTTATCATGTCCATCGCGTCCGATCCTACAGCAAGCACTGCCTCACCAACAGGCCGAGTTGTCAGCATGTGCGAGAACACCCGGCATGGCAAACTTGCCGATCCCGCTTCTTGCCGGCTCATCTTCACCAGCCAACCCCAGGTACTGCCTAGCACTAAACCAAAGACGCAATTTACTTCAGATCGCTTGAATATAAATCTCCAATTTGGTATAGTCGTCGCTACGCTAAATAAACTATTTGTACCAGAATAGAATATGCAACAAGATGCAGCACAGTATGAGCAATTTGTCATCTCAAATCACATCGTATTTACACATAGATGTCTCCATCTCCCCCATCCCCATACAGACAAGTAGACCCCCTCCCCCTCGGCACTAGTCCTCGAGAAAGTCAGGGTCACCGTACGGATTCCATTCTTGACCCGGGTAGCTCGTTGCGCTCATTTGCGGCAGGTAATTAGGATCGTCCTGGGGGTCGATCCAAATCTTTTCTTCCTGGGATGCTAGTCGAACTCGACGCTGGTGAGCGCCCGCAGTATCTTCCAACTCGGCCGTGAATTGAGTGGTCGTCTTTGGGACTTCCTTGCTTTTAGACTTCTCTGATAGACTGTCTTCAGATACCTTTCGACTTATTTCGTGAACTTTAGATTCTTCATCTTTTTCAGCTTTAGCCAGTCTTGGTGTGGCATCGTATATATCATCGTCATGATGCTGCTTGGCCTTGGCTATGTCAACTCCGAGGTCATTGTTATTGGCAGGACATGTCGTAGCCTTGTCCTCCGTCTCGGGGGTAGGCTCAACTCGTATTGCTGACTCTGCTTGTGGGGTGGGGGACTTGGACTGCTGTGATACTGAACCGGTATCCGACGGTGAATTGCTGGGCATGTTACTGTTGATATGTGGCGTACTAAGACGTGTGCTACTACGTTGCGGTTGCGGTTGAGGCGGATCTCCCTCCTGGCTCTGTGGTGCTGTTACCACTGGCGAGTCTCTCAAGTGTACTGGTGGCGTGATGCTAGCAGTGTTACTCCTCAAATTATCCAACCTCACGCTCCTTGGTTGCCCATCAGGAGAGGGCACAGAGGGGGCGGAGGGCGACTGAACTATCCCAGAAGAAGACTCTGAATCTCGGCGAGGAGACGAATATTGAGAGGCGAGAGGTGAAGCCGCCTGTTTCGGTTGTTGACGTGACTGCGGCTGGTGTGGCATGCGAGGACTGTGTTGCCCGTAGTGTTGCTGCATCTGTATCAAATTCATCTGAGGGAACTGTCGCCCTACGTTATAGGCTGTGGGGAGGACCATGCCCTCCCCATGAACCGCTGCATAACCCTGTGGAATAGGTACATAATCGTATTGAGGTTCAGACTCAGGTTGCGGCCGAGCTTGTTGAGACGGATTCTCACGTGGCGCTTGGTGACCAGGTGTGACAGCCACTGGTGCAGGTGCGTAAAAACTATGCCCCTGGCTAGGAGGCATGGGAATGCTACTTGGGTCCAAGGGTTGGTGCTGGCCGGGCTGTTTGAGATTTTCAATGCCTTGTTGGCCCCAGTACAGTTGATATGGTTGATGCTGTGCATTTTGCCATTGACCCGTTGGGTGATTTGTCGCGCCCCCATGAATTGGTCCGGGCTGCTGAGTATCACTTTGCTTCGAGTTCCTCTTGAAGGCTCCCAGCAGCTTGTTTCCGGTGGATCTCTCGGTTTTCTCTGGTTTCTGCTGGGTAGTGTCGTGGTGTCCAAGCTGCGACATTTGTTCTGACATACGCTTCGTCAGGCCTTTCCATCTCGATCCTGGACTTTCCTTTTGTGGAACTTTCGTCTGCTGAGTCTGCGGAGAATGGAATCTAGGGTCTTGTTGGATGGGGTATTGATGATTCGGCATCCCAAATTGTGTTGCAGGACCTGGAGCACCCGGTGGTCCACCAGCTTGTGGTGGCATTCCCAAGTATGGCTGTTGCATCCGCTGGGGCTGGTGTTGGCCGGGTTGTATCTGCTGTAATTGCTGAGCGTGGACGGGGTACTGGGAATACTGTGATCTGGCCTGTTGTCCTGGATGCGGCATCTGAAGCCCAAGGCCGTGGAGCTGTTCCGTCCTCGTGTCTTGTCGTGGAGACTGACGATTTTCCTTGGCAGGGCCTTGCGAAATATGGAGTTTTTGCGATTCCTCTGGGGATATCATTGGCTCTCTAGCAGTCTGCGACTGTTCAGGGCTAGATTGCGGTGACGCCACGGTTTGCTGTACGATTGGCGCCACAGGTACAGTTTTGTCAACAAGATCGGTGCCCCTTGGCGGCTCACGTTGCGACATCTCTTTCAAAGCTGGTTGTTTGCTTTGCCTTACAACAGTGAAATCACGCTCATCGGAAAGATCGATAGAATCATTGCGAGCTTCATTGGGATGCGCATCTTCGTGATGTTCCTTAGCCTTCCAGTCCGACGTCGTGGAAAGGTCAGGGGAGACGGTAGATATTCGAATGATCTCCCCATCAGCAGGGCCGGGACTGTGGGCTTCACGATCAGGTTGAGGGTTCGATTCTCCAGAAACAGCTTGCTGCTGTTCAGTTGATTTGGCAACAGGGCTTGACACCCGCGGTTCTTCCCGTCGCTCAATAGGATTTTCTCCATCAATCCGTTGGCCAGACTGCACAGCAGAAGCAGAATCCGGCTCGGTCTGCTCGCGGAAATTTCGAGGAACCAGGCCTAAAGGAGACGGTTGAGACGGCCTCACAAATCGAATTGATGGATCAATGTTCATAGCAGGAGGCTGCATCCCGTCACTTTGCCCCATGAAACCCATAGATTGTTGAGAACCATGTTGCTGGGTTGGCACAGGAGATGGCCCCCCAGCAGCAGCAGGAGAGTAGTGCCGTTGGGGTTGATCGCTTCCAGAAACTCCTTGTGGCTGGCCGTTGCCCATGCCTGGCGGCCGCGGCTTAGACTGGTCAGCAGCAGGCGATTGCCGCTGTTGAAATGGTGTGGATTGGGGACTCCCCAGAGATTGAGGCTGTATATGAGCTTGATTTCCAACAGGCAAGACTTCTGCCTGGGAGTCGTCGCCTTTAAGGAGGCCCGGTGCGTCCACGTGCCGAGGCGGCATTTTGACCTGATCAGGGCTGTGTGGATATCGTCGTTCATGCTGCTCGGGTTGCGCTATTCTGTGCTCTTGGATGTCTGCACTTTGAGGCTGCATGCTCATTTGATGCTGGGATAAAACTTGCGAATCCAGAGCCTCAACAGCCTCCCCAGTCTTGGACGCTGATCGCTTCCCCAGAATCCCCGATATCAAATCGGACATGGATGGCCGTCGTCCACGGCGATCGGGACTCTCATCAGCCCTGCGCTCTTGGGAACTAGCCGCAGAATTAGCGGTGCTGGGCCGCCCCAAAAGTTTGAATGCCGGTACGGGAGGTTCTAGAGACTCGACCTCTGGCTGCAGCTGAGAAAGACTCGGCTTGCTCTCATGTTTGTTCCGACTAAGCAAGTTTGAAACCTTTGATATTCCGGAAAACCTCCTCTTCTGCGGGGTGGTGTCGCTGAGGCCTTCGGTTGGTTGGGTAGTCGGGCTGGTAACCTGGACTTGCTCCAGGTTGGATGAGGGTGACTGTGACAATCTGCTTGGGCCTAGCTTGCCACCAAGGCCTCCTCCCGCAAGCAATGACCGCCTCTTACCTCCTGGAGGTGGAGTACTAGGAGGCTGCTCCTCCTGGAATGATTGTTCTTGTCCAGTCGAAACATGTTGTCTTGGGTCGGGGTCTGTAGGTGCGCGACCAGAACGGCCGAAAAGAAAGCTTGGTCGCCGCCTGCCTTGCTCCGGCAGTTCACCGGTGCCAATGCTCGAATCTGATGCTCCGTCTCCACGGAGATCATTAGTTGCTGGTCGCTGGTCCATGGAGCTTCGACGCTCCCTGGATGCGGCTCTGGCGATTCGTTGGCCCAAATCCTTGAACAGGCCAGAGTTTCTGCTCTTGCGCCCGCGGTCTTCGTCGGGAGGAACAACTCCAGGGATGGCAAACTCACCGGCTTGGGCTCTGGGCATCACGAAGTCATCACGAGCAAGGGCTTTTTGATAGGGTGGGTGGTATGGCTGTCCACTATTGCGAAAGTTTGATCCAGGACGCTGATCTGGGGGATAGGCGAACAGCTCAGGCCATCTCTGTGCTGAGGATGGCGGTACATCAGAACGCTGGCGGGGAGGAGGCGGTGCCATTGGGTTTGGAATAGGATGCTGCGGAGGCTGATGAGTCGGGTCTTGCCCCGGGCGCGGCAGATTGAATTCTGGAAATGATATTCCGGTCTCTTTGTCAAAGCCATACATGATTTGTTGCTGAGAACCAGCAGTCCCAGGCCGATTCTTTGAGACGGGATTTAGAGGCTCAGACAACCGGCTTTCCTCTAATTTCCATTGACCGGAGAACGGAGCCTTATGCGTATGATGCATCCACGGCCGAGAACTTTGGGGATTTTGAGTTTGTGGTGTTTCTGTTTTGATTTGGGGTTGCTGCTTCGGGCCCATGGCAAATGGTGCTTGAAGCTGGGGAGAATGTTGTAGTCGTCTCGCCACGTCTGCATGAGGACCATCAAGTGCTGCTTCTGAATGAGCAATGTCCATACCGGCTTTCTCATCTTTGATATGCTGGGAAGGGGCGGAGATGGCATCGGCAGGGTGATTATTAGCAACTTGAGGTGCGGGCGGATTAGCTGGAGCGTCAGCAATCGACGCATGGCTCGACGGATCATCATCGTCGTCGTCGTCGTCGTCGATAGGGAACCGATCAGTAGCTCTTCGAGCTTTAGATTTTGGAGTGAGACCAAAAGTCGAGCTGCGTCTTATAGGCGGCAGCCCAATGAAAGAAGATGATCGCTTGGGTTCCCCCTCGGGCTCAGGCGGTATCGGTCTATTACTGCTTTGTTCGATGCCAGAAGCGGCACGCGATACCTGCGATTGTTGAAAATTGGGTTGTTGGTGAATTTGCTGATGACCATGGTCATGAGACATCATGGCCCACTCATGACCAGCGCGTTCCGTGGCAGCTGTGTGAAGGCCTCGCGCGTCATCCCCAGCCGGTTGGCCGCGACTTGCCCTTGGCAATGACAAAGCGGGAGCAGTCGTAGCCCCGTTGGCCGTCAATGACGGCAACTTGGGGATTTCTAATTTGCGCAACCCAATAGTGGCCCGCGACGGATGGCTGGATCGTGCCTGAGCGGGCGGGACGGGTTGGCGCAGGGCCACGGCCGGATGGGTCGTTGCAGAATCAATCGCCACGCTTCTCCACTCCGGAATATATTCCGAGTGCGCCGCCGGATTGAGCGGTGACAACGGCGCCGCAAGGGCGACTGGAGGGATCTGAGGTGCCATTGACGATGATGCGACATCTGGAGCAGCGCGTTGTTGCGTGGCATGCAGAGGGGAATTGCTCGAGCTAGCGGCGTTGGCATCTGCTTGTGGGGCGGCTTCTTCAGGACGCGGTTTTGACCCGAGCATCAGGCCCCACGACGATCGCCGATCAGCCTTAGCCTTGGTTTTGGACTTGGACTTGGCCCTGGCCTGTTCAGCTTCGGACTCGGAGAGATATTCGTCCTAATCAGCAAGAAGAAACATTAACAATTGGTCTTTGGAATGGCATTATACATTTGTGAAGTGACTAATATAGGCTCTGAGCTTGGGAAATTAAGAGTAACAGAGTAGAAGAATAAATAAAAAAAAATAGATAAATAAATAAATAAGAGAGCAAGTCAAGGGGAAACGTGCGGCGTGTCATTCCTATCTCATGCAATCCATCTCTTCATTCAAAACGTCGGCAATAATATCAGACCGACTCATAGCAATTTGCCCGCTTCGCAGTACAGATTAGATTACCAGAAAGCCCAGAACCCAATCTACTGCCCCGTCCACATAATAATAGAATTGAGAATCAAATGCAATGTAACGAATGAAAGTGCCGCCCGTGTAAACACCGTTGGTCGAGAAAAGAAGGGGAAAATGCAATTAGTGAAATACCTTGTCCCCAGTCCCACGCAATTTGCTCCGCCCCTTGCTAAGCAGCCCTTTGCCCATCTTTCCCGCCGAATGCATGAATTCTTTGCTTTTGGTTCCGATCTGGTTGCCAGAGTGCCCAAACGTGCTGCCAGATACTTGCGACGGTATTGGCAGCCCGCCTAGACGAGACCTATTAGGGGGAGAGCCAGAGGCGGTCGGTGAGCTGGCATTGAGATATTGCTGGTAATATGGTTGTTGGGCCGGGTTGGGTTGTGTTCCTGTCACGGGATTCGCCGCACTTGCTCCTTGAGGCGCTTGCCGAGGGCCCTGGGCACCAAACAAGGGGCCAGAGGTTGAGATGTCCGGATGCTGAGCTTTGAGGTAAATGAGCCAAGTTGCGAGACCAGAATCTGTCGATGAAAATATGTCCCGTGTTTCGTTGTACTTGGCAATGCGTTCGATGGAGCTGTTCAGGCTCATGATTTCTCGGAAACTCATGGTTTGTGGCTGTGCCTGTTGTGAGACCGGAGAAACTGGAGGCGGTGTGGCTGAAGGAGATGTCTGGAGTGCAAGAACAGGCTGGTCATCAGCTGTCGTTACAGCCGACACAAGACTTGAGGCAGGTTTCTCAAATGCCTGCGAAAGGCCGTTATTAGCATAAGCTCCGGCGGCGGCGTTATCGCTGACTGGAGAAAGAGGACAAGATTCATCAACAGCGGCCTGTTGGCCACGAGGTGAATGGCCGCTACTGCCGCTAGATACTTGAGGTGAAACGTGAGCGGCATCGGACGGTCTGTGCTTTAATTGCTTGTTGTCTACCTCAGGTTTCACATCACCTGCCGACTGCTCAACGACTATCCCGCGTGTTTGAGTCGCGGACAATTGCGAATCGGTGGGGCTTTGTTGCGTGGGTGCTAGGCTTGTGTTCTCTGCTTCCCAAGAGAATCGACGGCGGAGTTCCGGAGACTGAGGTGACACTACTGACTCGCTTGCTTTGTCCGCAGAACTGGCGGTAGATCGACTAGCAGGCTCATTCAGGGCATCAGGAAGTTCGGGGATGGCGGGGAAAGACGCAGAAGACTCAAGAGATTTGGCCTTATCTTCGGTGGCCGCCCAATAGCTGCGGTAGTCCCGAAGGGTGTAGCTGCTGTCCCTACCGGCTGGAATGCTCGACGATTGAGAGCTATGGCTAGGAGCTCGGTTGAATTCCTGGGTAGAGCCGCCGACGGGGTTCAAAGACTTTAAAATCTCATCACTCAGCACATCGTTGTCCTTGACAGGGGAGGAGGCCACCGTGCTGAAAGTAGTCTCGCGCTGGATGCGGTTGGGTTCGAAGTTTACCTCGGAGCCATGGTCTGTTGGCTTGATGGCTGCTGCTAAAGGAGCGCCGGCAGCATCCGGGGGAGTCTCCGGGGTTTCTGGGGCTGGCAGCGCTGGACCGCGTGGACTTGGAGTCCGCAGTGGAGCAATTATATCCATATCCGAGCTCGGATGCAATACAGGGATGGTGTCCTTGGAAAGCTTACGGGGAGTAGCATTTGCTGTAGGCGACGCAGGCGTTTTGATTTCAGCCGCTTCTGAATCATCTGTATTTGCGTATACAGGTGAGGCAATGGTTGGGAGCGATTCAACTTGATATAGTTCGCCGTTGGCCGTCTTCTTGTCCTCATATTCTTGCGTAGGGGTTTCAACAACAGCCGTCTTCTCCTTGGCCGGAACTTCCACCGCTGGTTGAGACGCCTGCGGGACTACTTCTGCCTTGGTAGTTGAGGGATTTGAGAGAGAACCAGACTCAGTGTCATGTCTAGAAGCTGGCTCATCTTTGGATGAATCAACACTGCCGGTGGAGAAGAAATCCGTGCCAAAGGCCGACATTCTGGCCAAATCAGGCAACTTTGGGCTGAGAGAAGTCTGGCGATCGTCATAATCAGCGTTCCGACCAGACATCTCAGTCCTGTTTCCAAGATGAAAAGTCTCGTCTCTGCCAATGGAGTCAGGTCGAGCATCAGCCGAGCTGGGTGACCTTCGCTCCTTTTCACCTGCTTTCCCAAGGCGACCGTAGATGTCTGAAGATGGAACAAAAGACGGCGGATTGACCTGCTCGGGACCTACCAAGTCAGGCGCCTGATCATCATTTGCCTTCTCCGAGTGGTTGAAACGGTTTCCAACATCATGTACAGTATTGAAAACACGTGGGGGCACCATTACTTCGGCCTCGGTGTGAGGAAAGCCAGAGTCTGAGGGCCCGGATACGACAGGTGGGGTCGAAGTTGTCGATTTCGGTTGTGATGTGGGCGTCCAATTTTCAGAAGATTGCTGCGTCTGCAGCGATGGAAGTGTTGCTTCCCTCGTCCCAGCAGCGCGTGCGGATGTTTTGGGCCAGGGCTGCGGGACATCTTCCTCAGATTCTTCATCGTCATATTCGTCAGCCCCCCAATCGTCGCCATCGTAGCTTTGTACCTTGGCCTCGACCCATTTTTTCGTCTTGGTTCGGTTCACATTGACCTGGTAGGCACTGCTACCAGTTGGCGTTTGAGGGGACCTAAATGATGAGGCGGCAAATGTCAGTCATGATTCAAAGCGACGAGACGGAAACGAAGAGGGCGCGAGGGCACCACGTACATTGAAGCCTGGCCGCGCCCGAGCCGCCTAGTTGAACGACCCGCACACTATAATTCACCGGGTGCGAACTATGGATAGTCAAGCTTCTCGACCACGCATTCTAAAATATCCAATTGCAGTGAGGCCAAATCGCGGTCGTGACGTCGTAAATCCTAGCTCAACTCTGTAGCCTGACCAGCGAGCGATGAGTGCGCTTTCCGGCGGTGTACAGGGAATGACGGCTGTCGGAGAAATAGTGCTGATACAAGAAAGCAATGCGAAAAGAGAATAAACGATCCGAACCCCGACAAAAAGCAAGCTACGGTTGGTGATAAAAGAGCATGTAGTAGGCGTGGCCAGTTTCTGGAGATTACGTTGAGATGGGAGCTCGTGGGAGGCAGACTAGGGGCGCAAAAGCCATTACTAACAGTGGGTTCAATGAAGAAAGTATTCCGGGCCGGAATCTCCAGCAAAGAGTACATTTTGCGGAACGAAGGACATTAGATGTGGGGATATTACGTTCAATGGCTGAAGCATATTGGCCCACACATGATGGCAAGGGCGCCTCGCCAGCTGATGTCGCAGTATTTTTGGCTCATTTCTGGGTGGGGCCCGTCGACGGACTCTGGCACCTGAAGCAGCCGGGGCAGTTGGGTTCAGCCATTCAGCAAACCAGCGTCCGGCCGAGGCCCATTGATTCTCGTAAGACGGCACGAACATTGAACTGATTGTTTGGTCTGGAATGCAACATGGTAAGGATTGGCGTAGCAACGTGTGGGAGGCACAAATTATTTGATCTCTGGTCAGGTACCTGGCTATTACGCTTTGTATTATAATATTATAGTATTAGCATACTTCTTGGTGGGTAAATACATTCATTCCGCCACAAGCTGTACAATGTACATGTGATGGCGGACAAGGGACTTGATCCTGTAATCCATTAATTTTGGATACAAAGCGACGTTTGGCGATTCCCCCTTTTTTTCAGCGTTTATTCACCGAGTCCTAACAGCAGCGATGTTTGCCTACTTAAGTACCTTGACCATCTATTTCTGGTTGCACCTCCATGTGGCGAAGTTCGAGCGTGGCGAAGCTGGAGTACCACAGTCTGTGTGGCGCCATCTGCTGCTTAAGCCAACCAACCAGACCGGGCCTGGACGGCCAAGCCAAATTCAACCACGTGTGTCGTAATTCGTTCAACCCAACAGGAGATGCCACTTCGCCTGTTGCCGAACCCCAAACTCCGATGCGCATCGACACCGTTCCTCTTCATTAGATTGTCTGGACAACCCGCAGCTTGGTAGAATTGCATGTTGTCTCCTGCGCACCTAGTCTATTGTTTTAATTCTCTCGATTTGTTTTAACCCCGGTTCCTTACCTTCTACCACGCCGCTCGAACCCACTCCTAAGGAATCTGATCGCGACGGAAACGAACAAAAGACGTTTCCGATCGACCTTGAAGAATCCGCACCAGCTAGTTACCAACGTACTTACAGTTCCTCGACTGCTGTTCTTCATTCCCCTCGGTATCGGGCATCATCTCGGTCGCGAAGCCGCGCTGGTCGCAGTCCTCCCGCGATTTTTGCCCACCATAGAACGTGGCCAAGATGGCTGTCGCGTCCATTCAGGATCGAACCTCCGAGTTCAAGTCGGTTCTGGCACAAGCCCAGAAACGCCAGAATGCGAACAAGGTCGGATCGCAGCGGCGGTCGCTTCTGACTGATGCTCAGAAAGCCGCCGCAGATGGATCCGCGCCACCGAAGAGATCAGATTTTGCGAGGAAGGCTGCCGAAATTGGCCGAGGCATCTCTGCGACTATGGGGAAGCTCGAGAAGCTAGCACAACGTGGGCTCACCTGAATCGGCGTCCAACGAGCTGTGACACTGCTGACATTCTACTTAGTGGCCAAGCGACGGACCATGTTCGACGACCGACCCGTGGAAATCAACGAACTTACTTTTGTCATCAAGCAAGATCTTTCTGCCCTCAATCAGCAGATCGGAGGCCTGCAAAGTCTTTCAAAGCAGCAACATCCCAAAGCCGACCAAGAAGGCGAGCACAACAAGAACGTCGTGTACTTGTTGCAAGGCAAGCTCACCGACGTCTCGGCCAATTTCAAGGACGTGTTGGAGGAGCGGACCAAGAACATTCAAGCGTCAAGGTCGCGAACCGAAAACTTCATCTCATCCGTGTCGCAGCATGCACAGCCATCCATTCAGAAGTCGGCCTCACCCCTATACGGCACGCCCAGTCGATCCTCACCGGCCCCCGCATCCGACACGCTCTCGCTCAACCCGATCGGCGACCAGCAACTGTTGATGATGGAAGAAGCCCAGCCTACAAACGTTTACATTCAACAGAGAGGAGAGGCCATCGAGGCCATTGAGTCAACGATTAACGAACTGGGCAGTATCTTTGGACAGTTGGCAACCATGGTCTCAGAACAGAGCGAGATGATTGAGCGAATCGACGCCAACACAGACGACGTCGTGGACAATGTCGAGGGCGCTCAGAGAGAGCTTTTGAAGTACTGGTCTCGAGTATCGAGCAACCGGTGGTTAATAGCCAAGATGTTTGGCGTGTTGATGATTTTCTTCCTGTAAGTGGCCTGCTCACATTGACGTTTGATTGACACAGTTTGTATTAACATGAATGCAGTCTCTGGGTGTTGGTTTCCGGCTAGGCGAGCCCAGTGCTTCAGAGAAATGGGAGACGGATGATGTGTTGCCGCGCAATACTTTGTATGGATACCACTGTGGACGAAAGACGCCAGCCCAGTCTCTTTTGTGTGCCTACATGTCTGAGGAGTTTTTTACTGTTTTCTTGTTTCCAAGGCGTCAAGAGTAGTGGGTTAGATAGGATGCATTAATACCAAACCGCAGCCAGGCTGCGCACTCGACTAGCACATGTATACGGGAAATGGCCGCTGATGACAGAAAATCGTTGTTGTCTAACGCTAACAGCTCACTTGCTAGCCTTGGCCGTGGCAGCTCCCTCGGGATCGTGAGCCGAGACCTCAATTTCCACCCTCATGTCGTCCTCGGCCAGCCGGGCCACGCCAATACACGTCCACAAGGGCTGGTGATTGGGCATCCACTTCTTCAGGTTGCGCACCATGGCCTCTTCGGCCTCCCGGTTGAGAGGGAGGTGGTAGGAGTTAATTCGAAACACTTGCTCCCAGCCCTTGCCCCCGGCGTCCTTCAAGGCTCGGTCGACGTTGCTAAAGGCCAGATCAATCTGGGCGTTGATTTCCTTTTCGAAAACCCCGGTGTCGGGGTCCCAGCCACCTGGGCAGGAAACCGCATTAGAAAGATGGGTTTGCAATTGCCATGATAAAAAAAAATAAATAAAAAAATAAAAAAATAAAAAAGAGTCGGCACATACCTTGTCCCGCGACCTCGATCCGATCCCCGACGCGCACAGCCTGGCTGTAGCCCACCACCTCCCGCTGGCGGACTCCAAACTTCTCGTAGGCGTAGTACTGGAGGTGAGACATTCTGTGGGTTAGGCGTCAACGATGCGTAAGTACGTTTGTGTGTGTGCGTCGACTTGGTTCGAACAAGAGTCTGGTGGGTTGCGGGGGAGTATTATAACCACGACCCACGACCCGGAGGGACCAGATTGACCTAGACGCTCAAGGTGACACGACGGGCCTGGCACAGACATACAGGCACAGTGGGATAAGCCGACAAGGCCACACGCAGGCCTGGCTTGGCAATAATGCAGAAAGCGGGATGTAACGGCGTGGCTGCATCTCTCCTCCGGAAGACCTAGTCGGGCATGCGGGGTCGGGCGCAAGGCGCCGCATGACGTTCATGCACGGAATTCAGCCCGGAACCTTGCCGGAACCTTACCGGAACCTCTGCCCACCGCTCGCCTGTCGCACCATGCGGCGATGCCTTCTCATCTGCACTTCGTGTTATCGGGGCTGCACGTGGCGATGCGAGCGGGGGAGAGTGTTGGTGACGGGCAAGAATCGTTTTTTGTAGTATTTGAATGCACATGCTCGGGAGGCTAGAGCGGCCCAAGGATGCCGAGGCCGAGGAGGAGTCGCCCGGGCGGGCGGTCTATTCCGCAGTGCCAAATCGGCCATCTCTTGTACATGTGAGTGCAACACAAAGTCAATGCTATGGAACCAAAACAAGGACTAGATTCAGCTAATACCGACGATGTTATTCCGTTGCGTTCGTCTCGGCTTGAGCTAGCTGTCCGTACCTGTAGTCGCAGGCAATGCGTATTTACGCAACCCAACGTCACCTTGCGCCACCAGGTGCGCAAATACCTACCGCCTCTGTATGTAACTGCATATCAAGACATCTCCCTCCACAGCGCACTCTTGTCTTCATGCTGCCTCGTCGGGGTTTTCAGAAAAGCCAGCAGCTCCCCGTTGACTGCACACGACTCTTCCCATCTGGCCGCTCATGTTGCAGGCTCCGCCCGTTTTGCACTGCACAAGCACTTCATCTGGTCAGCCCGTTGCAATTCCCTTTTTCTAGACTTGGATCTTGAAGTGACTCAGATGGTTGGGGGCGTCACACTTGGCCTCCCCGTGGCTCACACGTGGCGACCGTCTTGCCATCACCCCAACACCGTGTTGGTTAAATAGGCACCCGTCGGCGGCTTTTTTACAAGCCTGTGCGCATAGCCATCAGTAACTTGTCCCAGGAACATGTGGATGTGAGTGATGGGAGGCTTTCGGAAGAGTCAGGGGAGGCGTGAGCATGCCGTGGACTGGAAATGGGTCTGCGCGACGGTGCTAGCAATGCTAGCTGCAAGTAGAGCAGAAGAGCTTTCGTTTTTGCAAAAAGGGAGACATGTATCCTATTAGCAATAACCAGCGGTGCATTTGTACCAGGATGAAATGTTGACGGGGTTTCCTTGAGCGAACCGTGATGGCGAGATACTTGTGCTTGTTGGTGTAGGTGCGCGAACATATGCGAGGGACTTTATCGAGTTGTGATTTGTGAAAGCTGTTATAAGTATTAAGGGTTAGTTTATTATTATTATTATTATAAGATAAGCTTATATTTTTAAATCACCTTAAATAATGAAAATATAACTAATAATACTATTAATTATAAAAGCGTATTTCGATTCTAAAATTAATAATATATTATCTTGTTTTAAGTTTTTAGAAAAAAACACCTGAATTGTATAATTTAATTTATTTAAAGAAAATACTAGTTTACTATCTCAATCAACTATAACTAGTTCTCGCGATAGCATACTACCAGCTACTGGCTACCTACTAAGCAAAAACAAATATTCCAATCTGAACCCTGCAGCATCTCACAGTTTAGCGCGCCATTGCCGACTATCCAGTCAGGGCTGGTAGGTGCTCTGATTGAAGCCAGAATCGGCAACCTGATTCATACTCAACATTTTCGGATCAACCCAAGTGTTCGGGTTGGTCGGGATGGTCCAGACACCCGGGTTATTCCAAGCGCTCTCGTCAGCAGAGTTGCTCGAGCAACCCCAGTCCTCCAGCTCTGCCAGACTCTTCGGATTATTCGTACCCTCCGGCTGGACAGGGTTTGCCAAGTAATTCTGGTTGATTCCTGAGCTTGCAGGGGCCAAGTTGATAAAGGCCATGGAAGGAGTCGCTGGGCTCATTGACTTCTCAAAGTTAGAGTATCGATGCCGCATCACGGTGGTGTCCGCGTCATGGTAAAGGCGCTCCCATTCGTTGATCTTGACCATGTCTTGCTCCTTTTGGATCAGGCGGCTGTGATTGGGAGACATCGCTATCATGCAGAGCCACCACAGAGCAAGTTCCGACGTGAGCATATTGACGCCATGTTTGGTGCATGGGACCGGCATGACTGCTGCCTTCAAGTCTTCACCGTTGTCAGTGTCGGAGAAACAGCACACGACTAGGTCTTCCTCAGTCTGAATATACCCATAACGGGTCCCGGCTTTTCGGCATAAATTCCCCAACTGTCGTAGTGGCAAGGCCATTTCCCCGGATGGCTGTGGGAGCTTAGCCAGGAGTTTCATACATGCCCACTTCGAGGATAATCTCCCAAGGCCGACGACGAGAACGGGTTCCAAGCGATTATCGAGCCCGATAACGTGGTCCACTTGAGAGCCACTAGAGGCATTGGGTAACTTCGCAATAACCGACTTGTCAGGAGTCGAGTAAAGGTATGTGAGGTTGCTCTCTTGGCAGATTCCAAGCCTTGTCTTGGCGACTAGGAGTGTCTGCTGCATCAAGGCATCGTTCCAGGCGATCAAGTGTCCGATATCCCTGTCTACCTCGGTCTCAACTCCCTGTAGTACTTCGACCTGAGGCAACTCCAACGGATATAGTAGATCATCAGCGTCGAGGATATGACCGTAGCTGTCATTGAGGTTTTCCAGATTGAAGTCGCGCCAGATGGTGAAGGCGGCTACCTCTGGCCAAGCTAGGCTACGACTGTTTCTATTGAGCTTCGATTTGCAGAGTATGGTCGGCTTCTGCTGACAGAGAACATGTCGTAAGGTAAGGGGGGCAGTGCGCTGGCTCGCCATGTTGAGACTTGAAATGTACGACGTATAATGATCAATCTGTGGCAGAGTATATTCGTCTGTCGACAAGTATACACTAGTATACCATGATATTCAAATAGGACGGGGTAGCCGGGTAGCTTATCTGGTGAAAACTTTGTCTCTCGCCCTGTTGAGGGGTCTCATGAGAGTCGACAGAAGATTGTACTTGACGCTTGTTGCACCGGAGGCAAATGTACTTATAACAGGAGCAAGTAATTGCTCTTCCCCGCTTTGGAGTAGCACAAATCACATGTGTCACTGTGCAACGTTGGGTTACAACGATTTTTGCGCCCAACGCGGCTCTGTTCATTCTTGGGCCACCTGAGTGAGTGACCTAACCGTGCGCTTTGTTCAAGGAATCAAAATGTGGCCAGTGCTCTACGAGTCGGCGTTTGAGTGGCTGGGCCGGCGTGGTAGCATATGCGACATGTAATACTCTCTCAAGTAATAAAATAGAGCAATCTTGAGTAAATTTATATTAATCTTCATCTCCAATATAACTCCGTCTAAAATACAGCTCTTATTAGGAATTATTACAAAATACATGATTGCATGGTCAACGATTTGCTAATCGGACATGACTTGCTTGTCATGTAGCGCAACATGTTCTGGTAGAATCGTGCTGCTATCAGACAGTATGAAGAGCCGCAATTGTTCACCTGCCCCCTACCACGACGGGCATTGGATATATCAGGCCATTGTTGGCATGCCATCTGAGTTTGTACGCAAAGGATGTTTGCTTTTTCAAACGGGCCGCCGTCTCTTTTTTACAATCCAAGTACCATCGAGGTGGCCAGTTATCAAGCCGAATGCGCGGTTTTGACGTGGCTCCTCTCGAATTTGTTGCACTGCAGGACTTGGTCCTCTGTCTTGTCCTTGGACCGTGCCGTGTTCTACTCGTGGCCGGCTCTGGGCTAGCACCCAACGCCTTCCAATTGTACCGCCTTGGGTCAACGAAAGTATAAACACGGTCCCTGGATGGCGTGCTTCGTAGGTTGTAGTCGATTCGGCAGCCACGTCCGCTAGGGAACGCACGAACTGCGATTTCAGTCTTCTGGTCCTCATGCTCCTCATTCCATAGTTGCACCATGTCATCAAATTCCCAATAATCATTCATGGTTATTATAAAGGTTTCATATGCCATGGCGGGCGGGGCAACAGGCGGAAGATATGGGCTTAGCTCGGGAGTCGTGATGAAGTGAGGGACAGTAATGGCCGTGCTAAAGTCGCAGAGCTTGCCGTTGATAAGCTGTCGATCAGCCACATCGAGGCCGATGATGCCGAGCTGGTGAAACCGCTTGATGTCTTGAAGGACTTTGCGCATGTCCTTTGTTTTTAGATTCTTTGCCTCCAAACCGAATTCTTTGACGATGCCCCGGATGGGGGGAGGCCTACCACTTTTGCCTGTAAAGCTCGCGCGTACGTCATCACACCCTGAAGCATAGACATTTCCATTAAACTCGAGGTCAACATGACTGAACTTGTCCATCATGATTCGTTCGTGTTCTTCGTCGAGGAGTAGGTAGCCAAAGCATTTGACTGCCAGCTCCTCGTAGCCCGCTTCTTGAAGACGGCCAAAGCTGCGGCATTCACAGTTGAATGCCTCTGAATAATTGTACATGACGTTCAAAGCAATAGTATCGTTCTTATCGAAGGTTTCTGCTGTGCCTATCCATTCATCGACGTAGTCAAACCTAAACTGCAAATATATGGTTAAGTCTCCATCATGTGCTTCAAAAGGGGGGCAACTGCTTACGAGTTTCAAGGCGTAGATGTGCCCAAGAATTTCGACCTTGAACACAAATGAATGCAGGCCCTGCCCCAGGTATTCAAGAAAGTTAATCTTTTGAGGGCCGAGAAAGTCAAAGGGCTTGAGCTTGGGGCCAAGGCATTGTGGAAGTGGCACCAAATCGGCGTCGGATTCTGGCCAGTCTGGATGCATGGTTTAGCCAGCACTTGAGGTCGTGATGTTGTTGGACCTGGGAGGAAAACGGGAGAAGCGACGCCGTTTATGATCTGGACTTGAGTCGCACGGCAAGGAGGCAACAGCACGAGATGATGGGAAACCCAATCAAGCCGGAAATAGAAACGGCTTGCAGTTTTTTGTCTACATTATTTTTGGAAAGAGAGTTTCATGGCCTCCCGTATTTGTAGCTCTGCACAAAGGGACGCAACTTGATGGGGTCATGGGTCATGCCTGGTAAACATGCCGCGACCAAACCGAAATGTGGTTAGTAAGCACCTCGCGGTGCGATTTTTGTGTAACAAAAGGAGCTGCATGTGCATGTGGCCATCCAGCACCCACCTACGGAGTATTGCTGCCCCTGCTTTGTCTCTTCCAGAATCCCAGACTCGAGATTGATGTCCCCTTTCCTTTAGCTTCTAGTGCTGTCCTCGGACCCATCTGCTTTCTTTCCTTTGATTGACATTTTTGACGCTTCGGGTGCGCCGTCATGCACAATGGCCATTGTTTACGGCGTCCCAGACAGCGCGCAATCCAGAATAAATGACTGGAATAGTAGTTTGTCGTCGGCGGTGATGGGCGTGGTGCTTCAATTTCGACTGCGGCGTACCGTCTTCATAAGACGCCACGCTAGATGGGCCTTGCATGACTGCTATTGGCCCGAACTTCAATGCCGGTAATATCTTTGTGGATTATCGCGATCCTGCCGTTTTGGTGTTGAGTACTGTACCCGTTGGCACCTTCCAAAACTCTAACCACCAGGGGCATCGCGACTCACGAGCAACATCGCGAGACAGCGCCCAACACCCCTGGAGGGGGAAATACATTATTGATAGGTTCAGTCTCCGGCCTCGGAGAACAGCCGTGGCAACCGACTCAGTCTCCCTGCTCTATTACGCTGGAGGCGAGCAGATGATTCCTCGACACCATCTTATCCCTTTCGGAATCGAGAATTGGGACCGACATTTCCAACACCCACAAACCCGGAGACTCGCCCGAACCGACCCCGATGCTCGTCTCCAACGCAACCAGAACGCCAGGAACCAGAAAAAGAAATCCCGCTTGAGCAGCAGAATGACCCCGCAGGCCCACAAAAAACCCTGACGGTCTTTTTTCTCCGTGGCTACAACTCCAGTCGATATTTCTCCACGCTCTCCACGCGCCATCCCCGACTTGAGCTTCTCCCGCCGACGGCAACCAATTGCAGTAGTTGCCATCGGTTACTGATATCCCGGGGACAGCAAATGCAACGTCCGCGCCAGAGATGATGTCAAGGCCAAAAAAGAGTGCCGCGAATATAATGGCCCTGATCCCACTCTGCGCAGCTCTCCCTGCCTCCCAAATCTACTCCCCCCGTTTCTGAGCATCTGCAAAATGTCCGACCTCAAGTTCAAGCTCAACACCGGTGCCGAGATTCCCGCCGTGGGCCTGGGTGCGTATACTCTATCCGCGATGCCAACCCGTGAGCCACGCTAACAAGGCTGTTTTTTTTTTGTTAAGGAACCTGGCAATCCAAGCCTGGAGAGGTCCAGGCCGCCGTCTCGTACGCCCTCCAGAACGGGTACAAGCTCGTCGACGGCGCGTACTGCTACGGCAATGAAGGCGAAGTCGGGCAGGGGCTCAAGGAGGCCTTTGCCGCGGGCGTGAAGCGCGAGGGCGTGTTTGTGGTGACCAAGGTGTGGGCGACGTACAACACGCGTGTGGCCGAGGGCTTGGAGAAGAGCTTGCAGAGCCTGGGGCTGGAATACGTCGACCTGCTCCTGATTGTGAGTGCGCTTGTGCGATGGAAATGAGAATTGCCTGCGGAGCGGTTTGCTAATCGCCTGGTAGCACTGGCCTGTTTTGCTCAACCCCAAAGGTGGGCAAACAAACCTCGAAGCTGGACTGTCGGGTTGCATCATGCTAAATCAGATCCAGGCAACGACGACAAGTTTCCCACCCTGCCCGACGGCTCGCGCGACATTATCCGCGACTGGAACCACGTCGAGGCCTGGAAGCAGATGGAGCAGGTGTTTGCGAGCGGCAAAGCCAAGGCCATTGGCGTCTGCAACGTGCGTCCAAAAACTACCGCGTGTCGTTCCGTCGCTGACGCCAGTCTAGTACAGCAAAAAGTACCTCGAGGAGCTTCTGCCCCATGCCAAGGTCGTCCCCGCCGTGAACCAGATCGAAAACCACCCCAGCCTGCCGCAGCAGGAGATAGTCGACCTGTGTAACGAAAAGGGCATTCACGTCATGGCTTACAGCCCGCTCGGAAGCACTGGTGGGCCGATGATGAGCGCCGCGCCGGTTGTCAAGCTTGCTGAGAAGAAGGGTGTCAGTCCTTCCACTATTCTACTCAGCTACCACGGTACGTAATCAGCAATCATTGTTGGGATGACAAGTTGTATCCCTTGGCTTAACCAAAGAGTGTAGTTGCCCGCGGCAGCACTGTCCTGCCCAAGTCTGTCACGCCTGCTCGGATCAAGGCCAATCTGGAGATTGTCAAGCTGGACGCCGACGACATGAAGGTTTTGACAGACTACTCCGACGACCTGACCAACAAGGGTGAATTGAAGCGTTATGTGTATCCGCCATTCGGGATCAACTTTGGCTTCCCGGATAAACAGTAAATTACATAGATAGCCACGATCATGGAGAAGAGTGAATAATGACTATAGACTGCAACACTTCTGCTAAACTCCTACTTTGTATGTTTGCCTATTTTTATAGTGATACTAAACTACACGACTGCAATGACTCCCCCTACTCCTGCTTCATGTCCACTACAACCTTGAGAACCAGACGCCCATCATCGTCCTTGACTCTACCCGCCATCGCGAATGCATCGCCAATGTGGTCCATACCCTTGAATCGGTGGGTAACAAGCGAAGACAAGTCCGGCATATTACGAGGACGATTTGAAAGGAGCTCGATCGCTCTCTCGTAGACATTGGCGTATCGAAAAACGCCCACAAGATCGACTTCGCGCAGTGCGGCTGCCGACATGGGCAGCGTGAGAATCGGGTTTCCCATGCCAATAATCATGACCTTGCCGCCGGGTTTGGTTGCCTATGCCGTGCGGTTAGCTTCATTGACGCAAAGAGCAAAGATCGCTCGACATACGTAGATGGACGTCTGCGTGCAGGTCTCAACCCCGGTACACTCATAGACGGCAGAGACTTCGCCAACAGCCTTGCCCTTGACTTGGGTCTCTTTGATCTGGCTAGCGACATCTTGCGCATACGCCAATTTCTCTTCAATCGACTGCGGACGGGCCATTGGCACAACGAATCCCGCGTCCGCATAGCCATTTGCGACGGCAAAGTCCACGCGGTCCTTTTGGATATCTGCGATGATTACGGCAGCGGCGTCGTCGGCCTTGCTGACTGCCGCAGCGAGGAGACCGACCGCGCCGGCGCCAAAGACGAGTACTGTTGAGCCGGCGGGCAGGTTGGCACGGTTCCGCGCGTGCATAGCAACCGAGAGTGGCTCAATGATTGCGCCTAAATCTAGAGAGAGCTGAGACGGGAGTCTGTGTGAATCAGCGCGGGGAGATTTTGGAGGATGATGCGGGGGCTCTCACTTGTGACACCAACGAGCAGGGTGGTTGATCTTTTCTTGCAGCGTGCCCTGCGCGTGAGGGTTGGCTTTGGCCGAGCTTCTAAACTTCATTCCGCGGCAGATGTTGTATCGGCCTTGTTTGCAGTATTCGCAGGTCTCGCAGGGCAGGCCGACTTCGAGAGCGACTCGGTCTCCGGGCGCCAGGCTCTTGACGTCGGAGCCAACTGCCACCACGGTGCCGCTCGACTCGTGGCCGAGCGTCAAGGGCTCGCGAACAATAATGTCTCCATTTCGGTAATGGTTGAAGTAGTGCAGGTCTGAGCCGCAGAGGCCGGTGGACTGGATGGCAATCTGTACTTCGTCGGCTGCAGGACCTGGCACATCACGGGTTTCCTGAGCATGTCAATTAGTATGCGCAATGCTGGAGATAAATGACTGGGCGGGTTTTTTACAATGCGCAGGTCCTTGGCTCCGTGTAGAACGGATGCGTTGACGCTCTGTGAAGCCATTGTGATGTTTGTCCAAAATAACCAAATCCAACTTGGCTTCCAATGCTTTCGGGTGAGTATATTGCGTGCAGCAAGCAGGCGGCGGGCAAGCAAGAGATCCAAAATCGCGGTGGAAACCAAAATCCAGGTGGTCAGAGTTCCAGAATCACAGCATCCAGAGCACAGATCGTGGCAATTAAATCCCCGCCAAGAGTCCGGTCAAGGGTCTGGTATGGTCCGACTTCGCGGGCTGGAATGCCGCAGTGATTCAGTATCCGGTTTGCTACACGTCAATCATTCGCCGACGTCGTCTTGACTGTGCTAGTACTGCGTTCAATAGCCGGAGACTGCGCCGAAGTGGGGGCGGGGTAGCGGCATCTGACACTTGCTCCCTCTTGCCCTCGCCGGGGAGAGTTGCCTTAAGGAGCAACACACCCAGCTCGCGGAAGGAGCGATTCAAAAGGCGTGGGAGGCAATGAAATTTAACCAGGCCAAGTACCTTCCCATCGCGCTTGATAGTATAGTACATTAGTGTATAGTAGTATATACTTCTTTGTGGGTAAATGTATTCTGCCACAGACTGTAGGGTGAGCAGTCCCCATCTCTTTTGCTTGCGAAATTAAACTCCCACCAGACGACACAAAATCTACAACATTGTCCCTCATAAACCCATCAATCGCTGATGTTGCTTCTGTTGGCCGTTTGGCGCTAACTTTCATCCTCTTCTGTCCACGGACTGATCGTCATGCAGCCAGCCGCAAGCCGGTTAGGCCAATCAAGCCAAAGATTTGACATCGCAAATCCAGGTTAGAATGGCGAAACACGATTCACCTTGGTCTCGCGACAAAATTCACTGCCCGCCGTCAATTATCACCATCCAGTGCGACAATGAGCCTCATGTCGCCAGCATGTCGCCCTCGCGGCCGGAGGCTGAAAAATCCACCCCTGCTGACAGGAGGATCACATTCAGGACAATCGAGAACAGTGCTGTTGGTTGGGGACTTCCTGTCTTCCCCACCTCCACACTTTCGAATTCAAGCCTCATCATCACGGGCAACGATAGATCGCGTCCACGAAGCAAAGAAGCGAAAAACCCTACAGTCTGAGCGCCCACGGAGTCCTGCCGCAGGGATTCGTTGCTCTGGATCACCATATCTGACTTTGATCGTTGGCCGTCCAGAGGCTCCTCAACCGGACCAGGTGGTTCGCGCGGCCTGCCTGTTGGTTCACATAACTCATTTTTTTTTTGACGCTCTTCCTTCTGTCAAGTCTGCCTTGGTATTCGTGAACAGATGTTCGGCATCAAGAGCGCAAGGCGGTTAGCTCCATTTACTTCATAGCGGAGACTCGTCGTCTTTTCCTTCACTCCCATACGGAGTACCGTCTCTCAACTTAGGAGGGAAGCGCCGTCGCTCTCAAGACCAAAGGAGAATCAGCGCCAAAAACACAGAAATCGCCTCTCGAACACCAGATTGTGCTCAATCATTCAGCAATCTTCATTTCTCTGGCACCCAAGGGTGTCCACTGTCGACCGATATGTCGCGGCAGCAACGCGCACATGGGGCCACCTTGGCAAATACTGCCATCTCGCCGGTTCCTGGTACGACTGTAACCACCTACACAGGTTCCACTGTCTCACTGCCCGTCGCACGGCGGAAACAGAACATCACGGCGGGGTTGGTGCCATGTCCAATACGGCATCAAGGATGGGTCACAGTAAGGGAAGGCAGCTTTATCACAGCCTGGAAGGACAGATACTTGATCCTCAGCAGAGAGTGGCTCGACTTTTGCAAGACGGAAGGAGGCAAGTCGGTGTACACGCTCTTTTTGACAGATGTTGTTGGCATTGGTCGCGTCGAAACTGGTACCCCGATTCTGGAGATTAAGAGGAAAGCCGATGGAACTTCATCTAGCCCTGGCGACAAGGAGGGTGGCATGCGCATCTTGCACGTCAAGACCAAAACGGAGGATGAATTATACGGTTGGATTGACTTCATATATACGGCATGTCCGGGATTAGGGGGGGTGAGCAATCCCACCAACTTTTCGCATGCAGTACACGTTGGGTTCAATGCAACTAGCAAAGAATTCGTCGGCCTGCCCCACGAATGGGCTCAGTTGTTAAGTGCGTCGACGATAACGAAAGAAGATTACGCACGAAATCCACAAGCCGTTATCGAAGCTGTCGATTTTTATTCCGATCTGACAAAAAAGTCTAACAATCCCGAGCAGTATTTGGCGCTGTCACCAACCCGAGCAACCCGATTGCTCGAGGAGCTGAACGAGGCTTCTGGCAAGGATCCAACTATTCCAACTCAAACCAATGAATCCCCTCGTCCTCTGGAGAATGCATATACCGCATATGGCGGCCACGTGAAACTCACATTCCAACAGCACGAACAGAGGAGAGAACGAAGCCAGGAGAGACGGCCCAACATACCTTTCAAGAATATAGCCGTATCTCCCCCTGGAGCCCCCGGGAAAGCTACACCAAAGGCTACACAGGACACCCAGCCGTTACGCCCAGCACCATTGGCTCCGAAGTTGCGACGGGTACCTGCTCAGCCGGTTCGGCCTATCCCCCAGCAGCCAGCTGCGGATACAGCTACAGCAAACCCAGCGCCCGTCCCGCCAGAGGTCTGTCCTAAACATGATTTGCAGCCAGCCCAAGACCCCGGGTTAACGCCTATTCCTGTTCCGTCAATGCGAAGACAGACGATTCGACATCAAACTACGTCAGAGGCTGAGCTCATTTCCAAGTTACAGACAGTTGTGTCTTCAGGAAATCCAGATGACTCGTATGCTAGACAGAAGAAGATTGGGCAGGGTGCTTCCGGCTCCGTATATGTTGCCAAGATCAAGGCCACGGCTGTTGGGACTGCTCGCGACATTATTCTCGATCGAGGCTTGAATACTCGGGTTGCAATTAAGGAAATGGTCCTTGCACGTCAGGCTCGCAAGGAACTTCTTGTGGATGAGATTATGATCATGAAGGAGAACCGACATGAGAACATTATCAACTTCCTCGAGGCATTCCTCGTCAACGAGAACAGACAACTATGGGTTGTGATTGACTATATGGATGGTGGTGCATTGAACGATATTATAGACAATAACTCAACAATTTCCGAAAGACATATGGCAACTATTTGCAGAGAGGTATGTGGGCCTGGACTAGGACGTTCTGTCGAGGCGTACTAACAGTTTCAGACTTGTAAAGGGCTACAACATCTTCACGCGAGATGTGTCATTCATCGAGACATCAAGAGCGACAATGTTCTCATGGACAGCCGAGGAAACATCAAGATCAGTATGTCGGCGTCCTAAATCGCATACCTAAATAGAGCACCTACTAATTCAGAATAAGCCGACTTTGGATTCTGTGCCAAACTCAACGAACGAAGATCTAAGCGTGCAACGATGGTCGGCACCACATATTGGATGGCCCCCGAAGTGGTTCGACAAAAGAAGTACAGTTACAAGATTGACGTATGGTCCTTGGGGATCATGGCTATTGAGATGGCAGAAATGGAGCCGCCATATATGGACGAGCAGCCTTTACGGGCACTGTATCTCATTGCCACGTCCGGGACACCGCCGTTGCGCAATCCGGACAAACACAGCCCGTTGCTCAAGTCATTCTTGGCGAGATGTCTAAGGGTCGATGCTGAGCAGCGTGCTTCGGCAGATGCATTGCTGGAGCATGAATTTTTAAAGTCTGGGGGTTCTGTGAGCGAACTGGTAGAGCTGTTGGCGTATAAAAGTGAGACTTAAGGCCGGTGCGCCGGTGTTTTTTTGGCATAATCTTGGGCAGGGAAATACGGGCATCCTGAAAATTGACCTTTCTCATACATATATTAGTTAGATTTATGGTATCATTTCAATAAACACGAACTAAATCTCCGAAATCGACTGTCAATAGACTGTAGAAATATGGCAAGAAGCTAGAGATCAACAACACTCTACGGAGCATTGAAGTTTGGTTGTGGCTCTTCCCCTCCCCACCATCATCTACCCCAACTTTCTCTTCGTACATGTGGCCATGATCGATCCACTTTCTACCTTTGACACAGCTTGTTCAAACGGACGTTGCCAGCCGCGTTTGACCGCCGGGGAGGAAAAGACATGCGTACTACTTGGCGAGTAGGACAGTTTCAACGACACATACAGAAAGGGGAACTCAAAACGGTTCCATCTCATCGTTGTCGGTCCTCCACAAATTAGCGTCAAAGCCAGAAATGGCTCCGCCCAACGAGGTGCGATTTCAACCTTGACACCACAAACAACCCACCAGTTCTCCTCACCAAAGCAGTCGCTAACCTCCAAACCCACAGCATGATTCCGGCGAGGCAGAAGTCCCCCATGTCCGCACGTACTTCTACGCCGGGGGCGAGTACGCCGAGGACGGAAAAGGCGGCCACCTCTTCCACAACCAAATGTACGTCGAGAAGCTGGTTCCTGCGCCGGGCGTCACGCAGAAGTGGCCGATAGTGCTGATGCACGGGAACTGCATGACCGGGACAGTACGGCCATCCCTCCTACGCCGCAGCTCCCTCTGCACTACGCATCCGCGGCTAACCCAGTCCCCCTAGAACTTCCTCAACAAGCCCGACGGCGGGCGAGGCTGGGCATCCGACTTCCTCCGCCAAGGCTACGAAGTCTACGTCGTGGACCAGCCGCTGCGCGCCCGCTCGGCATGGCATCCCGGCGACGGGGCGCCCTCCCTGTCCGCATATCCCGCCGAGCTCCTGCGGGACCGGTTCACGGCGCCCCGGCCCTCGAGGCAGTGGCCCCAAGCGGCCATGCACACGCAGTGGCCGGGAGCGGGCGTCATGGGCGACCCGGTGTTTGACGCCTTCTACGCCTCCACGGTGCCCTTTGTCAACAACGAGGCGTACCAGCAGTTGGCGGCGCAGAAGGCGGGCGCGGCGCTCCTGGACAGGATCGGCAAGCCTGTCGTTTTGCTCGGGCACAGCCAGGCGGGCGCCTATCCGCCGCTGATTACCGACGTCCGGCCGCATCTCGTCCGGGCCATGGTCCTCGTGGAGCCCAAGGGCCCGCCGTTCCAGGAGGCCGTGTTTAGTGGGAGGAAGTCGAAGCCTTGGGGCATTTTCGACGCGCCCATTACGTATGAGCCTCCGGTGACGGATCCGGACAGGGACCTTGTCAGGGTCACGCACCCGCCTGCCGGGCCGGGTTTGGCGGAGTGTGTGCTGCAGGCAAGTGATCCGCCGCCGAGGAGGCTGAAGAACCTGGTGGGTAAGCCGATGCTGGTCGTGACGGGGGAGGCGTCGTACCATGCTGTGTATGACCATTGCACGGTCGAGTTTCTACGGCAGGCGGGGTGTGACAAGGTTGAGCATTTGGAGCTGGCCAAGGTTGGGATACATGGGAACGGGCACATGATGTTTCTGGAGAAGAATAGCGGCGAGATTCAGGAGGTGGTTGAGCGGTGGATTCGAAAGGCTGTGAGTGATGGGCTTTCGTGCTCGTAGTGCCCGGCGTGGAGGGGGTGAGCCATCGACATGCTTGGGCTGAGGTCGGGGCACAACGGCTACTTGATGGGCCGGCGTTGGATATGCTTCACTGTGTGTAATACAATAGCCAAGACTACCTAGGTATATAAAGCCACGGATGTAGTGCTAGAAATCTTGCTTGAATGGCTGACATGGCTAGGTATCGTTTACTTGGTGATATGTATACTTGTAAGAAATATAATATCATATACTACTGCCAGATATTTTCCTAAAATATACGAGAAAATAATATGGTAATAAATTTTTTCGCTCAATCCGTGGTGGTGTCTACTTGTTGAAAGCCCAGAGTATTGGCCCGGCGGGTATATCACTTGGATGGAAGCATACAACCCTCGATTGGGCACCTTTCTGTATGCTTTGGAACGCGAGGAGAAGATGCGAGGTCCCCTACCTGGCGCACTACTTGGGTGCTCTGGTTGCATTTCTCTGTCGCCGAGGATGCGGAGGTGGGAGGATCAATCTTGGTTGATCAACTACGCATCAAGAAACAGCCGGGTCTTCGCTTCACATTCATTGACACTAGCAGCTACGGGACCAATGACGATAGTGACCATCGCGCCAGGCCCTGCAGTAAGTCGAACATCACAGTCATAGTGGCCGGCGAGTGGCATCTGTGTGACATCAGTCGAAGAGAAGGGAAGACAGTCGCTCCCTCGCTTCCACAGCATCCCACTCAACCAGTACTCGTTGCTGCATCTCCGCCATCTTCACTTGCACGAGCGCCTCCATCCCCGCTTGTTCCTCTTGATTCAGAAGCTTCACCCTCGTCTTCCACAATTGCTCCGTGGGAATGTCTTTGTCCCGGTGACCGAAAAATCTCTCATCCAAGTACTTCCAGTATATAGCATCAAAGGCCCAGCTCTTTCTAGCGGCATAATTGAGCCAGAAGCGGCCTGTCCTCCAGCTCTCGCGCATGTATTCCGAGAGCCGTAAAGAACCGGCTTGCACGTCTTTCTCTGCCTCTTCCAGGGCTGAAAGCCAGGTCTGCAGCCGGCTTTCGTAGATGGTAGCCCAATCATCAATGCCCTCATCCCACATCTCTGGCACGTCGAGAAGTAACCACCAGGGCGGGTCAAGGACGAATTGTGTTGGCCCGACGTATGCGTATTCCCAGTCAATGGCCGCGAGAACATGGTCATCCTCATCGACGAGAACATTGGCAGGTCTGAAATCATCGGACCACAGGCGAAAAGAGCCCGAGCCGTCTGGCGCCGGCAATGTTGCGCGGGCGTCCTTGTAGCAGGACGACCAGTTATCCTCGGCGAATCCGAAAATTGACAGGCGCCCTTGCTTGGCTAATCTGCGGAACAGCTGCCGAGCGACATATTTGGTCCTGCAATCGTCCTCTGACGAAATCATGTCGTTGTGCTGGAAGACGAGGGTTGCGATTTGCATTTCGGCCAAGACGGTGTACCACTCATCAGCGCTGTGGTACGTGGTGCCTTTGGGCGGAAAGATGCATCTTGGAACATTGGAAAGCTGAACCATGTTGCGCATGTTGAGAGTGATGGGCCGTCCCATTACGCGGTACGACTTGTTGCTTGTCTCGACGAGGCTTCCGATACATGGAAAGGTAGCTTGTGCAAGCTGTAGCACACACCGTGCCATTTTAAAATACTGGCACTTGAGCTTGTCCTCGGGAATGTCGGGCTGCAAGACGGGCGTGTCATTAGGATCATCGCGGGGAGCTTCCAGGACCTGGCCCATGCTCCGTCGAGATCCAACGTCTTCGATAATCATGAACGGCCCAATGTCGGGATCAATGCCGTGACTGAAAAGTTTCGGAATCGGAACAAGAGTACGTTGGCTAATGCATGCCGCGGTCGCGGCTTCTGCAAGCGTCTTCTCTTCAGGAAACAGCGCTTGGTTGGGGCAGGGCAGACGAACGAGAACATTGGTAGGAAGACCCTCGATGCGTATGGGATAGAGCACATTGAAGCCGCCAATGATCAAGGGCGTGACCAAAGTCGCGGGTTTTGCAAACATCTTCTCGGCAAAAGATACGACTTTGCGACAGGCTGAGGCAGATCGGACTTGCTTCATGGCCTCCTCCCAGAGCTCGTCGCTTCGGTCCCATGCAACATTGTCAGAGTCCTGTCGTGCTGTCATCCTGGATAAGATATGGTAAGGCTGATTTGAAGGGTCGTGTTAATCGTGCTACCAATTGACCCTATCTATTCGTGCTATTACCGCTTGATTTGGCCTAGTGACTACATGTCAGTACTAACTGCAATTCACGTGGGGACCCTGAAGGAATATTACCAAATCGAGCATTTAGCGCCGAGCCCCCACTAGAACCCCCGCGGGGGAGGCAGCAGCCGTCGGCTTTTGCTTTTGTGTCGACTTTGCCGAAAAGATATCACCTCATGTTCTCGCTCTCTCCGCGCTGCTTCTCCCCAGCATCAAAAACACACGGAAACAAGTCGATATGAGCGCGCCGATATTCTCACTTCAGGGCCAGACAGCCGTGGTCACAGGCTGCACCCGTGGCATCGGCCAGGCTGTGGCCATTGGCCTCGCCGAAGCAGGCGCTGATGTCATTCTCGTACAGGTAGTTCGAAACAACCAAGCATGAAGAGTCATTAGCGAAGAGCCATGCTGATTCCTCCAATGCAGCGAGATACCAGTGTCACTTCCACCAAGGAAGCGATTGAAAAGTTGGGCCGCAAGGCGTGGATCTACACGGCCGACATGGCGGACCAGCAGTCCGTCAAGGCGCTGACTCCCAAGATTCTGGCCGACGGACACGAGCTTCGGATTCTGGTGACGTGTGCCGGCATCCAGAGGCGACATCCGTGCGAGGAGTTTCCCGACAGCGATTTCAACGAGGTTCCTGCCTACCTACCCCCTGATGTGAAACGCAGCGTCGCGGTGCTAACAGCCCTGCGCAGGTCATGCAAGTCAACCTCAATGCCGTATTCACGCTCTGCCGAGACGTGGGCGCACACATGCTGCATCTCGAGCCGTCGCCCACCACAGGCCGCCGCGGCAGCATCATCAACTTTGCCTCGCTGCTCACCTTCCAGGGCGGCTTCACGGTCCCGGCGTACGCGGCGTCCAAGGGCGCAGTGGGCCAGGTCACCAAGAGCTTCGCAAACGAATGGACGTCCAAGGGCATCACGGTCAACGCCATCGCCCCCGGATACATCGAGACGGACATGAACACGGCGCTGCTGAACAACCCCGAGCGCCTGGCGAGCATCAGCGCCCGCATCCCCGCGGGACGATGGGGCAGCCCGGACGACTTCAAGGGCACGACGGTCTACCTGGCGAGCCGGGCGAGCGGCTACGTCAGCGGCCACACGCTGGTCGTCGACGGCGGTTGGATGGGTCGGTAGATGAGAAGAGGAAAGCGAGATGTGGTTTGCAACGGTGTAGTAGAGAGGTATCATTAGCGCTACTAGAAAATCCGACGCTCTTCAAAACTCCCCAGACCAACGAATTCCACCCCCCTGAAGCCAATGAATCGACAGCAAATCTCGTTGACTCTGCGTTTCCCCCCCTCCATCTCATCCCATCTTGACGTCCCGGACAAAGAATCATTTTCAGGATGTGCTCGAGGTAGAGTTTGAGCGCGCCCTAACAACCCTCTTCTTGCCCAGCTTCCACGCCCCCGAGGGGTCCTTCACAACAGTGACTTTGCTGCGCTGAAAGCGCACAAAGCCGTTTGCCTGCGTGTTCCGCGACATCACTCTAGCACAGCCTCGTCAGCACACATTTCCCGAGACCAGAGGCAGAGCCGCAGGGGAGGGGGGCGGGGGTAAGACATACTCTGACTGAAGAGCAGCGATGCGCATGCGCGCAAGGACAGGGTGAAACTCGTCCATTTTCAACTCCCAAATAACCCTCAAGACTCGAGGTGAAAAGAAAATATCCAACGCAAGTTTGTAGTTTAAAAAACACCACGGCTGCAAAGATGTCTAGTCTAGGGAAAAGACGAGCGGTCTGCAACAAAGCCCAACCTCAAGCAGAAGGGGAGACTGAGGAGGCCAAGGGGAATCATTGGACCCAAGCCAGGGTATTTAAAACTCGAGCAGATCCCCGCCTGGGACGGGAGGAAGAAACGAGCCATGTCAAAACAGACTCTCTAGCCCTCCCGCGCACTTCCTGGGGTGCAGGGCGCCACGACGGGCTCGGAGGTGGTGGGCTGCATCTGGAGACTGGTCGTCTGATCGATCACATGCTTGCTACTAGCTAGTGTGTCGAGTCTGGTGTCTCAGGACGAACTGGCCGAGTTGCCTGGTGGAGCACATGCAAGCGCATTGGG